CATCTGTTAAATGCTTTGCTCCTGAAGGCTGCCAGCTTTATATTGTCAATGCTGCCTAGAGGGGGTCCTGGAGATTAAGCAGCCGATCCATCATTAAGGTTGATGAAATTTCCCCTCGGCACTGGATCTTATCGGCAAAGAATAAGCCAATTGGGAGTTGGCCCATTCCTAGTTGTCTGGCTGAGCTCATTGGGTGATAAAACTCATAAGAAACCTGGATGTTTCTTCCTTGATGAATGCCAACAGTGAGGATACATGGACTGATTGCAGCTGAGAAGATTTCTCTGGGTTTTTGATATCTTTCGTGATTGATATCTTCAAACCTAAAGTCCAATGGATTCTCCAGAAGTATTGAATCTTCGTAGAGGAACCAAACTCGAGTATCTTTTTGGAAACCCTCATAAAAACTGCAGAACCAGTCCTTGAGCAGCTCGGCCGATAGCTTTGCTCCTGCATCGGCTGGTGTGGAGGCATATTCTCCGTAAGATGTGCACCTACGATGAGTGCGTTCTTCTTCTTCATCATCTACAGTCGGTTCCAGTCTTGGGAATTCGGCTTCTGTTACATATGGCCGATTGACAAACTTCATAACTACTAGATTCAACCAAGATTGCAATAGCCACCATGGTCCACCTGCTCCGACTACTGAGCCGACGGCCAGCTTAGCCGATGTATTGTGTAGCATTTGGTACAAATAGCCGAGGAGGATTTTGCCTAGAGGAAATTGTCTCTTTGTCTCCAAGGCTTCGGCTACGAACTGCCAGTTGGTTGTAGGCCCACAGCTTGATCCACAAAAGAGGAATTTTTCTAGCCGCATTAGCAGAAAAGCTACATGTTCTCGAGGAGTGACAAAACCTTGGCCCATATATGCTGCTACATAGCCTGACCAGCCGCCTATGCTCTTGGTCCTGAAGTCATATTGGTTCTTCGTTTTCAAGCTCATAGGGTTAGCCGATGAGGTGACGTCCAGACCCGTAATCATTATGATATCTATGAGAGTTGGAATCATCGGCCCTTGATTGAACAAGAAGGCATTGATGGTATTGGACCAAAAATAGGAGGCAGCTGCCATTAAGGGCTCGTCTTTAGCTGAGTTGGCTATGGTGAGATCAAGTGCTTGGCCGATTCCGATTTCATCCCAATGAACTCTTTTGCTAGCCGACATGCGCTTGAACCATGTGATCCAAGTTTTCTCGGGTGAGGTTTTCTCGAGAGATGGCCAGGATTTGAAAGTGTTTCTCCAGTGACCTAAATCTGGGTTGGTCAGTCTGAAAGGAATCCTATTGGTTCGCCAATAACGAACTCGGTGGGATTAGGGTTGCCAACTTGGACGAGAAGTAATTTTCGTGCGACAGGTTGGGAATTGCAACTAGGTTGGAAAGATGCTGCAGATTCAAAAGAACCAAGAAGGGGAAAACAAGATGAGGTGTTGTAAGATCGGTTCGATGCTGAGAAAGGGGATCTAGCCGATGGGAACTTACCTCAGCGTACTCAGCTGACGGCGCGGCAGACGGGCTGGCGGAAGAAGACATCGTCGCGGGTGGAGATCTGGCCGGAGATGAAGTCGCCTGGGGATCGCCTTGTGCGTCGGAGAAATCGCCGGAGAAGAAGAGGACAAGGTTGGCTTCGGCGGTGAAAACGGAAGTAACGGGATAAAGATTTTTCAGGACGGCGGTTAGTATTTAAAGCACTGAGGATAACGGTCGGAAAACGGCGGAGTACGAAACTTGCTCGGAGGCGATATGCGGCAAATCCGAAACATTACCGAATATTCCGGACTTGGGGGGCATGTGTTAACGACCAAATTTGGTAATATCAGTATCAGAGATGAAGATTAGATTGAAGCGGGGTCGAAGATGAAGATTGTCGCGGAAACAAAGTAAGAATCGGCTGAAGTCCGGATCGGGTACGATTGGATCGGCTGAGTTGGAGTCAGACTTGGTTAGGTGATGCAGCCGATTCCAACAATACGACTTGGTGTACGACATCGGGTTGGGTTGAGGTGCTTCAAGAAGATTGCCACGTATGGATAGAGTCCTGGGAAGGCAATTGTATCTATTAATTAGGACATTTTATGTAATTTCCTTAGAGATATGCTTGGGCAAAAGTCTGCCGTAAACACTTGTGGTATCTTAGAGTTTGTTAGAGATAATAGTCGTGTTCGGTATGGACATATCTTGTAATTTTCGGGTATAAATAGACTCCGAGCCCTATGTAATTAAAAACACACACGTTCAATACAATTTCCGCGCATCGCCACCTTTTTGCTTTAGTTTTATTTCGACGAGTTCTTGCTTTCGGGTTGAGCTGCATCGGTTTCGATCTTCAACAAGAGGTAAAACTTGTTATGATGGCTTGTGTTATCGGGATTAGTGCTTCCATCTTTATGATACTCTAATCTTGTTTACGTAATTCATCGAGTTATCATATATCGTACATAATCTCTGGCAATATCACTATCTAACCTACAATCGGCTAACATTTGTTAGTAGAGGGCAGCCGATTAGGTTAGATTTTGATGTTGATTTAGATTATATAAGATATCCACCACTCTATGAAACTTTCAGCGGCTTGATTGTCTAGATATTATTCTTCTTTTCATACTTAATGCCGCATCAGTTGAGTTTGATCTATTAAGTCGTGCTTAGAATATCAATCTCTAGCCTGCCTTCTGGTTGCCGATTAGGGTAGTATCGGAGTTTCAGCCGATCTTATCTGATTTAACTATATTCGCTCTATATGCTTCAGTGACATGTTAAATCCGCCCTTTATGTCAAGATCTTATTGCATTTAAGTATATTAAGCTTTTGTTTGATATATTATACTTGTTTTAATATTCTTATATAGAGTAGTATCGGAGTATTAGCCAATACATGCTAGATCTATATGATCGGCTATGCTATAAACATATATAGTCCTGTTATTAATATATATTTCGATCCAAGTGATTTATACTGTCTCGGCATGGCGACCGATCTATCCCAATCACTTGATTTAAATATATATCGATATAAGAACTATATATTGGTAATATCTACAGCCGATCGAGTAGGTTTAGTTTTTTATTATCTATTTATAGTCGCCGATCGATTCACATATGACATCGGCTCAAAGATAAATGATATGTCATCGGCACTTAGCCGATCGGCTATCATTTATAGATTAAACCGCGATCTCTTTGTTTCTATTTTTTGTTGATTGCAGGATCAAATCAACTGGCACGCTAACACACCCGAAGGTGAGCTTTGGACCTACACTGGAGTTAAGCAGATCTCCCAGGCCTTGTGTTTTACGTCAACATCCCCTTAATTCTGTTTTTTTTACTAAAATGCCTATGAATTTTTTTAGAAAGAACATGCAATTCTGTAATAGTGAGCCTTAACTACTAGAATCATAGCGCGTGTACTCCCTCCGTCCCATAAAAAACCAACATAGACACATCCTAGTACTATGAATCTGGATATACCTCTATCCAGATTTATTGTACTAGAATATATCACATCCAGTCTTTCATTCGTTTTTTTCGGGACGGAGGGAGGAGGGAGTATGTAACATTATACTTCTACCTGATGTTGGTATAAAGGTGGTCAAAATCATTTTTGTTATATATATACCGTGAAAAGATGTCGTCTAGTACCAATATATCGGTGAAATTTGGAGGGATTTGCGTGTACGATCGTAGAGGACCACATAGGGACAATTCGTACCATCGTCAGCTTGAAAGCTTTGACAAATTTCTCCGATTTGTATGTTCCCGCGAAGAAAATTTCTCTTCACAATTTATTTTGGTCGCACATGAATGTACACCAATAACTTAGCTTAGGCCTCACCAAAATGACACAAATATCAAGACATAAATGAAGATTCATTAACACTGCAAAAAATATATATCATAATGGCTATATTTGTAACACAATTAAACATTGCAATCCCCTGCTTGCACGGGTATTTATAATTCACCGAATGTGTCTCGTAGCTGTCATATGACTATTCGTAGCATGATCATGATTAACACTGTAATCATCCAAACGCATATACTCTTTTTTTTTTATCCCCTGATCCTAATGCGAAGCTTGCGGCGTCCACTTGCCAACTCTGATGAATGCATTAACACTGTCACGGGCGCGCCCACATGTGATCAGCCGTGGTCGCTGTTGCTTCGCGTTGCTACTGCTACAAGAAGACAGCCGAAGCCGAGATACTCGGCTTCCGTAATTTTTGACGTTTCAAACGAAATTAAGATTAACATTTATAACTTCTATTATTAATAAATTTTAAAATATTAGTTTAAAAGTAGTAGAATAAAACTAAAAATATATTTCCTTCGTCCTAAAATAAATGCACATCTCTAGTTTAATTTGAAGTTGAAACTATAGAAGTACACTTATTTTTTAGACGAAAAAATATTTATTTATTGTGTACTCCCTCCGTCCCAAAATATAAGTATTTTTGGACTCTGACACGGTCTCCGAGATGCTACTTTGATTAACAATATATATAAAAGCAAGATGTTTTAAATAAAAAAAGATACATATTATGATAGTTTGTTTAATGATAAATCTACTAACATTAATTTTATATAATTGATTTTTTTATTTTTCTTGTTATTAATAGTCAAAAGTTAAAAATGTTTGACTTTTTACTATGCTTAAAAATGCTTATATTTTATGACTGTATAGTCAAAATATATTTTGAAGATATATGTCATCGTTATCTAAATCGTTAGAAATTATGAAACTAGAAAGAGCGAGGGAGAGAGAGTACGTGGTGTGTGCGTTGCCGAGTATCTCCCAGAAAAAAGAAAAGAGAGCTTGTGAAGCAGTAACGCCGATCCATTTTAGCCCTAACGAACCAACCCCGGCTCTCGGTCGGTCGCGGTCGCGTTGCAGGGGAGATTAACGCGTAAGCAAAGCGAAGGCGACGACGCGGGACCCGCATATTCTAAAAAAACACGGTGGTTTTATTGGTAAAGCCACATGTATAAATCTCCCCCCCGAAAAAACAAACCCGGCGGATTCGATCGCCTCCGCCCTCGCCCTCGCCTCGCCTCCGCCTCGCTCGCCACCCACCCCCGCACATACAAGCGCGACGAGGAAGAAGGGGACGCCGACCTCCAAGAACCCACCCCAACCCCCCCGAGGGTGGGAGGAGGAGGAGGGAATCGAGGCCGGAGGCGCCGGATATGGGGGGCAATCCGGCGATGCGGGCCGGATTGGCGTTGGTGGTGGTGGTGGTGGCGGTGGTGGTGGGGGATGTGGGCGCGGCGTTGCCGAGGTTCGCGGAGGCGCCGGAGTACAGGAACGGGGAGGGGTGCCCGGCGGCGGTGGCGGGGGCGGGGGTGTGCGACCCGGGGCTGGTCCACATCGCGATGACGCTCGACGCGCACTACCTGAGGGGGTCCATGGCGGCCATCTACTCGCTGCTCAAGCACGCGTCGTGCCCGGAGTCGATATTCTTCCACTTCCTGGCGGCGGCGGACGGCGGCGAGGGGTGCGGGGGTGGGGTCGGGGAGCTGAGGACCGCCGTGGCGGCGTCGTTCCCGTCGCTTCGGTTCGAGATCTACCCGTTCCGCGCTGACGCGGTCACCGGGCTCATCTCGGCGTCCGTGCGCGCCGCTCTCGAGGCGCCGCTCAACTACGCCAGGAACTACCTCGCCGACCTGCTCCCCAAGTGCGTCCCGCGGGCGATATACCTCGACTCCGACGTGCTCGCCGTCGACGACGTGAGGCGCCTCTGGGAGACGCGCCTGCCCGCCGCCGCCGTCGTGGCCGCGCCCGAGTACTGCCACGCCAACTTCTCCCGCTACTTCACCGAGACCTTCTGGTCCGACCCGCAGCTCGGCGACCGCGTCTTCGCCGGGCGACGCCGCGCGCCCTGCTACTTCAACACCGGCGTCATGGTCATCGACCTCCGGCGGTGGCGCGTCGGCAACTACCGTCGCCGCATCGAGGTGTGGATGGAGCTGCAGAAGGAGAAGCGAATCTACGAGCTAGGGTCGCTGCCCCCGTTCTTGCTGGTGTTCGCCGGCGAGGTGGAGGCCGTCGACCACCGCTGGAACCAGCACGGATTGGGCGGCGACAACGTCCTCGGCAGCTGCCGCCCTCTCCACAAGGGCCCTGTCAGCCTCATGCACTGGTCCGGGAAGGGCAAGCCATGGGACCGGCTCGACGCCGGCAAGCCTTGCCCGCTCGACCACACTTGGAAATCATACGACCTCTACATTGCAGAGGGTGATTCATCTTCAGCATCAGCACCGTTCGCATTGTCATCATCGGCATTGCCTGCGGCGGCATTTTCTTGGTAGACAGCTAATGAGTATACACAATAATTCTTTCATTGAGGTTGCCTTGTGGAGCTGTGTGTGGTGATGGAATTGCTTTGCAATTCATTGCCACAGCCATCACAGCTGCCACCACAAGCCAGCTGCCGCCTTCGGCTGTACAGGACAGTGAAGGGGAGGGGCGGCACACTGCGGTGGCGCACAAAGGGAAGATGGAGAATAGAGGAAGCAAATTCTTGTTCATTTGTGGTACAATTCAGATTGATTCGTTAGGCTTCGGTTTGGAGGTGGCTGACTTTGGGGGGATGGAATTACTTGATTGGTGGTGTACAATTCTTGGATAGGATAAAGGTTTCATTTTTTTGTCTATTAGTTCAGAATCCACATGTTTGTTCGCTGAACTCGCATAATATTGATTGAATTGATTTGAATCAAAATGAGTTGATCCCATCCTTGTGTCTGAGCTGAAACAATGTTGCATCTATAGCTCATCCTGAAGACCAGAATGGCTCAATGCCTCAATCTCTTGCAGTCTGTGTTTTGCCAGTTATGTTGATCCACAATGGTTCAATCTTTTGCTGCTGCTATGTTTCTTTTTCTTACTGTTATTCATACACAATGGTCTAATCTGCATGATTTACCCTTTCTGCTGACTCTGTTAATCCAGAATGGCCTAATGTACTGCTGATTCTGTAGTTTTTGCACTGTCAGAAATTGCTGCTGCTACCTGCTGGTATGCTGGTATGTTTTCCCCTGGCTGTATGCTCTGAGCTTCTGTTTGGATTTCAAGCTTGTTTCCTGTGTTCTGGAAGTTTTTGTTTCTCTGAAAGTCTGAAGCAGTGAGATGACTTGTATGTTCTGACTTGTGAGTTGGTGCCTTGTGTTTCTTCGCATACACGTAGCAAAGAGCATTTCAAGTGGAGCAAGAGCATTATACTATTAGAGGATCTTTACAGATGGATTGCGCACATACAGCTGCAAAGACAGCCAATGAAACAAATAATAATATAGTTTGTTAAGATGAACTTTTATATCAGAAAGTCGAAGCAGAAGATAGGGACCTCTCAACAGACTAACTAATATTCAAAATTTATTGTACTAATCCCCCAACTAACCCACCTAAATCTCCACAAAATCAGTAATACAGTTCACTTCAGTTTAAAAATTCCCAGTACAGTTCACGCAGAGCAAAGCAGGAAATTTTCTTCAGTTCAAACTTTTGACAACCATGGAAATAACAAAAGGCTGTTCTCTGAAATTGTAGCAGCAACAGCATCTCAATTATATTGTTCTGTGATGATTGATGACTGAGATAGCTGCATAGCATACACTGTCAATCTTCAAGAACATGTTCTGCTAATAATTCTGAAAGCAGCTTTAGACTTCTCGCATATGGGCATCCTCCACACCACATAAAACGTCCACCATCAGCAGTTCAGCACATTTCCTACCTTTCCCTATTATACAACTTTACAACTTGTAAGCATGCCTTTTCTTAACCTCTAGAAGATACTAGCCATTTTGCTATTTATGTTCCCAAATATGCCTGCACTTGAATAATGCATAGAAGTCCCCTTTACCCCACAAGCACCAAGAACAGCAAAAACCTTGACATCACAAGCTAGATGGTTGACATCACCCCATATCTTTTTTAAAAAAAAAGTTTTCCTACTAAAATGTCGATCGTCAATTTCGTGATCGGACGGCTGAGAGATAGGGAGACATTGCAGGAGATGCTGCCACGTTGCTTGATGATGGCGCAACGCAAGGGTTTATACGCTACGACCCACAACTCCCCAGCCTGGAGGCTGCCAATGACCAGCTGGAGAATTGGAAAATGCAAGGCAAGTGCATGGAGCCCATGATTGTTCTTGCATTCTCTGCCCCTCTCTCAATCCTGTGAGTGTGATGAACTTCACCTACTTGTCATCAACCACCCTACACTCCAAATCGTATTCAATTCCTTTCACATGCTTCATACCCGTAAACCCCGAGCCCAGCAAAAGAAAAAACACGAGTTTTTAGTTGGCTCCAGTGATGGCCACTGCCCAACGAACCACCCCAGCGTCGTTGGATCTCCATCGGACGGTCACGGTTGCTTCCTGGATCATGCATTCCAGACGACCAAAGCCTAAGCAGCCAACCCTCCTGGAAGCTATGCTGTAGCTGCAGGTTCGTCTGTTGCCGAAACTGTCGGCCACCGATCGGTTTCAGAAACGCGAAGCTTCAGAGTTCAGACACGAGGCGAATTCATCATTTCATGTGGTTGGATTCAGCTTTCCTGGTTGATCTCTCTATGAATTCACGACGTGCAGCGACGACCAGATCGATTTTAAGCCAGAAACTGGCCTGAATGTTTGAAGCTTGGCGCTGCTTGGAGCAGGTGTCATTTTGAGCGTAGCACATTCACCGAACCGAAAGGCGTTAGGCCCGAACGACGCTATTTAATTTAAATTATTGTTATGGATTATCTACTTAATTATTGGGATAAATTAAATATAGATGAATAAACTTAACATATATTTAAAACAAGTAATCCAAACAATACATTAGAAAAAAAGATTTTGAAAAAAAACTTACTTTTTGAAGCGTACAGCAATTAATCCATTCTAATAATCCAGTTAAATAATCTGAAAAGAATCGGGTATTTTGTCTGCACATAAAACGAAATGATCATGCAGATTAGAGTGAGACCATGAGAGGTGCTAGTGTTAGCAGCAAAAGGGGCCAAACTGTAGCGAGACAGGTAGCCATCTTTTCCCCTGTTAAAAAGTACAGCACTGGATGAGTTTAAGAGCATAACAAACTCATCAAACCACCTAAAAACCAACCACCGCCAACAATTGGGCCTCCGTGGCCACCAAAGCTGCTGCTATTATCTATGTCCATCCTTTGTATTTGGCGACGTTAAGTAACATCATTATAATGGCGTCAGTCATCAGCAAAGCAGGGAAAGGGAGTATGACAATGACATTGAGTCTAGCTAGTTAGTGTAAGCTTATCAAGCTCATTACAGCTGACTAATCAGTGTCACACAGGTGATTAAAGCCGGTAATACTAGCTAGGTTGCACATTTGGATTTTGGCGCGGCTCTAGTCATCTAGAAGCCTTGTACACTTTGTACCTGAACCGTACGGCTGTCACTAGGAGCATGCTACTGAACAGCTCCCAACGACCTGTTCTTGACTTGTTAATTAAAGAGGACAAGAACAGATTAGCCGGGTTGTCCAAGGTAAAGAATATCTCGTAATGATTTGTTGTGTGTGTCACTAGATTGGATTGAGAGGCATTGGTTAATTAACGGATTTGGTTAAGCAACGAACAGGAATCTTACAACTGGGTTGCTCACCTAAATGCGTGCAGGTAACTAACTCCCTGAGAAAGGAATATCGAAAGGAGGATGCAGGGGGTTAGTAGTAGTACAGACTACAGAGCTGTCCTTGGCTCTTTGCAAGTGTTCGTTGCACCAAACTACAATCACTGTTCTAAAGAAGAAATGCAGTGCAGACTGCAGAGACAAGGCTAGTCTTAAGCCTTTCACAAAAATGCAGGACAAATTTGGTGAGTTTCTGTTGCAAAAACTCAGCACAAGAAAGAGATAGATAGTCCGGTACTGTTGCCTTGCTAAGCTCATCAAACCCAGACACAGACCATGGAACACAGATTTGTACGATCATGCATGCTTTTCGTTGAATTGTATTCGAAATTCAGAAAGACAATTCCTGTCATGATTCAGGAGCAAGTCAAGATTTCGGATTCAGAAATCTCACCAAGCATTGATGATAATCTAACTGTAACGAGATTTGTCATTAGGTTTAAGTACTAATTGTCTAATGCCTGGTACATTTAGTCACTGAAAAGGACTAGAAATCACACTCATGAGCAAAGTATAGTCTACTCCAAGGCATCGGATACTTGGGGTAGAGGCCGGGACACACCCTTGCTTGTCTCCTAAGTTTATGGAATTGTCACAGATGCAAACCTCACGTTGCAAGACTGGTCCTGCAGAAAGAATCAAACCAAGACAAATTTGAGAATAAAGTCGTGTATATATATATATATATATATATATATATATATATATATATATATATATATATATGTAGAACTATAGATGGCTAGGTAGCATCAGTAAAGAATTGGATCATGGCTTGGTGAGAGTGAAACCCAGATGGAAGGGAAGGTGACAAGCCTACTCTAAGAACAGGGCATCAGATCCAACTAAGTACAGCATTCTTTACCTGCTGGTGGAGAAAGCAAGTGAACTGCTTGGACAGAAAGGCTAAAGCTATATGTACTGTATACAAGAAAGAAGCTTCTTTTTTTTTAAAAGATATGTTTGATCATTTGACTTGTGAATTGTGATTTTGCAGTTTACTTGTCCGGGAGACTGGGAGTAGCTCGTTGCCATGGTCAGGCCCAACTAGCTCTAGGCAAAAGCTTCCTGAAGCCCAGCCACATATGGGGTTTGGATTTGATGGACCGAATTTTCCCACAAGAATTATTGACAGATGAGTGGCCTGAAACACAATTGATGAGTAGACATGATGAATTTGAACATTTGTAATTTAGCACTTGACACTTTGCAACGCACAAATGCCGATACTACATAAGTATGATGTGTCCTTTGCTGAGGGTGAAAATTCAATAGGAAGGCATCAGTTCGTGAAAATGGAATCAGGAAATTCATAATTTTGTCAAATTTAGCTTGTGTTTTTAGCCCAAGGTCCATCATGATCAGTGCATAAGCACGAGCAGCTAAGGCCTATGGGCTTCCATGAAGAGTAGGCCCATTGGTTAAACCGGCCCATTTGTCGCAGAATTTTTTACCTTTGGACTTCTATTAACCGGCTTTTTCCCCATGGCCGGCGGCCGACAGAGCTCGTCACGGTGGAGGCAGAGGCCGGCGTTTCTCTGGGAAACGATAGACGCCGGACAACGGCAAGGTCTCTCTTCCGGTTCAGCGAACTCCGGCAATAGAATTTGGTGTCAAGTCAATATCGAGGCAATAGAATTGGGGTGGGAAATTGATTGCACTTGTTTTCATGTGTTGTTCTGAAATCTGAACTGCTAATCTGACGCGTTGATAGCACTGGAGGACCTTCTGCTCTTCTTCTGCATGATACTGTATTAATGACTAATCCTCTTAATATCCCATCATCACATAACTTGTGTTGTTGTTAGCTGTTACTGACTACTAGTTGCTATCACTGCCAATCTGCCATATAGTGATATGTAGGTCTAATAGTCCCCAGATCTTGGTTGATCAGAACCAAATTAAGACCAAATCTGCAGAAGCCGCCGTGGGTCAAGTCAGCTTAGATTGTACAGGGGAAGCTGTAGGAGATAACGATCCTAAGAACACCTCCAAAATTTACCGTTGTTTGAAGTTTCAACGCGCAGAGAGACGAGAGATTCTAGCTAGATACGGGCAAAACGTCTTCAACTTC